AAAAAACTAGCCAGGCGTTGTGGTGGGCACCTGTGGTCCCAGCTACTCGGGAGGCTGAGGCAAGAGGATCACTTGAGTCTAGGAGTTTGAGGTTGCTGTGACCTCAGCAGCGAGGGAAGTGAGGTTGCTATGACACCACAGCACTCTAGGCTGGGACAAGAGAGTGAGACTCTGTCTCAAAAAAATAAAATAAAGGATAGTCCTTGAAAGTCAAGCCTTTAAATGTAAAGCCCTCAAAAGAGAAGTGAGGGAGAAACCAGGTGGAAAGTTCTGGTCTTTAAGAGCAGTCAGAAAAGGGAAGTGGTGCTGATTGCACCCACTTTGTGGCCAGACTCAGGAAAAGATGCTATCCACAGGGCGGAGTGAGCAGTCCAGATTGAGGGGGAGACACACACACACACACACACACACACAGTCCCCCAAATGGATAGCCTTCAACTTCCCCTGCCACTGTTCCCGGCCATGGCCTCAAAACGTTCAATCCTCAGGAATGAGTAATTGATTTCAGTACCAGAAAGGATCTGACTCCTTGCTTAGTCTCCTGAGGTTCTCTACCTGTTAGAGATCTCTGAACTTCCCCAAATTATATATGGGTTGAGGGTCTCTTATCCAAAATGCTTGGCTCCAAAAATGTTTTAGATTTCAGATTTTTTTCAGACTCTAGAATATTTGCATTATCCCAGCCCAGTGTGCCTAATCTATAATCCGAAATGCTCCAATGAGTATTTTCATTGAACGTGATAGTGGTGCTCAAGAAGTTTTGGATTTTGAAGAACATCAGATTTTGGATTTTGAGGTTAGGGATACTCAATCTGTACCTGGGCATTTTCCTAGATGGAAGACCTATCAAAGTTCTCAGAGGCCACCCCTTGTCCCACCTACCATGCTACCACGGCCAAAAACAAAAGGCCTAAAAAAAACTGTAATGAGACTGATAATGCTTATCTAGTCTTTCTTTTCTGATGGTGGTATTCTTTTGAATACTTTAATTTATAAAATGTCATAAGAGTTTTTTAAAAATAGATACGGATTTTCCTGCTAAAACAATTTATGATTTTGAAAAATCACAAGAGGCTCGGCGCCTGTGGCTCAAGCGGCTAAGACGCCAGCCACATACACCTAGGATGGCGAGTTCGAATCCCCAGCCC